AGATGTACTTGTATAAGCAGTTCTTTAGGCAGTCTTAGGAAGTGTGGATTACTGAAATGCATACCCCCTTTTTTGCATATTTAATACTATAAAATTTACTGATATATTACTTATAATTATTCTACTTATTATATCTAGAGCACGCTTTCCTTAAGATAAAATATAATAATTATCAAAGACTTTAATATTTTTACTGTATCTAATTACCAATAAGTAATTTAGGGTAATACTGGTTCTATTTCCTCCTCTTTTCTAATCACACTTTTGTTGTCCACTACCTGAGTACCCAAATATGCTCAACCACTCTTTTACTATTTTTTATCCAGTAATTCTCTACAGCAATACTTCATTTACCCAAACCTTATTCAGAACAATCAGCTGTTCATAAGAGTTCTCAAGATAAGTACAATTTGTTCCTAAAATACCAATGTTTTCAAATAGGATATATACATCTCTACTATTTTTAAACAGAACATGTTTCTTGATATAAATTTATCTCCATTATTTAACCCTGGTAATACTAAAATGTATTGGGAGATTTGGGTCTTGGGAGTCTAAATGAAGTGGGCTTGGGCAGCTGTACCTTGAGAGTTCCTCTGTTAATGACCTGCAGGTTTTACAGCATGGCCTTGCTTTCATTTGGTTTGCTGTTACTTCTTGCTGGAAGCTCTGAATTCTTGAAGCAATTACTATTTCTTTTCAACTGCTGTTGGAGTTGAATGGTTTAGGCAACCAGCCACCTCTGTTTGTTAAACCTGATTTAAACAAAAGAATGGACTGTTGTGGATGAGGGACTGAACGAGAAATGGGAAGGAGGATTAAAGAGTCATTCCAACAGTCCAGTCCAGTTTACTTTCTTGCAAAGTCTAGAATGTGTTTTAGATCACCCAGACTGTTACACAAATGACTACTACCTGAGTAAAGCACTTATGCTTGTTTTCTTTCTACTTATGGGAAAACTTATCAAGCGGGTCTACCATAGCTATTGTTTACACATAAAAATTTGTTTACAGTTCAGCTGACACCTATATATGCAGAAAAATTATTAGGATACTTGTAGTCACTTAAAAAAAGAAAAGCCCACTTCACCAACATGGGACTATATAACAATGTTATATAGTATTAATATACAAGTTACTAAAAAAAACAAGAAGTTACCTTCATAAAATACAGAAATTATGAGTGACAAGTTGTCAAAGACTCATTTTTAATAGTTGTGTAGATATTAATTTAGTCAGATTAACTGTGTTTAGGAACTTAACTTTGCAGATGTTAAAAAGTGCTATAGTCCTAAATAGAGTCTTCTTTTTCCTTCCAAACATTTTTTATATTTTATAGTAAGCTTTTTACATTGACAGATTATAAGCATCTGTGATCAATCACCTAATAAATCTAGATTTTTTTTCCCTGAACACACAGCTCACAAAATCTAACAAGAAAAATGAAAAAGATACATCTTTTATGTGCCTAATAATATTTTATTTAGGCCAAGGATATACCACACATGATAATTTGCCTGACTTTAATAAAAATGTTCTAATTATAGCTTATTCTAATTTACCTGTGAATTATTCAAGGGGAAAACTCAAACTCAAGCTGACATTCTATGACCTAGAAGGTCTCTGGCCTTACAACCTTTCTTGGTAGTGGGTGGTATGTTTTCAGAAAATACAAGCTACGTTTATTATTTATTTGTTAAAATAACAGAATTGCATACAAGACAATCAGATTACCATCTATTTTGATTATCTTTATAATGTTCCCTTTTATTAGGTCAGATCAATAGAACTTAGCTCTGGTCAAGTCTTTTTTTTTTTGTCAAGTCTTTTTGTGTGAGTCTTTTTAATTTTTAAAAAAAATTATAAGAATTTCTGTAAAAATTCTCATAGAATTAGAGACAAAATCCCAAGTGAAATTCTTCTACTCTCAAGCAATGTTTTTCAGTGTAATAAATAAGGTATTTCCTAAGACTCATTTTAGGTACACACTTTGCTTGGAGCTTTATTTGCTTTTTGCAACAACATTTAAAAGAAAAGCAACTGACCATTTACAACCTGAACAATGGCTTCAGGGTATGATAAAAAAATGCACCTGGCCTTCCTCAAACAACACGTTTACACGTTTGTTTAACCTGGTGACTTTCTTGTGTCTAGGGTCAGGCAGGAACAACCTTTGTTGGGGGGAGGAAAGAAGAGTAAATATAACTGACTCACTGAGAACAAAACAGTTGTACTAACTACCCTTTGCAATTACAACTGTTTTAACAGGTTCTAGTAGGCAAGGATATCATTTAAGTGACCACTATAATTTGGGATAAAATCCCAGGAAATTATACCAACTTTAAAACAGGAGTTTCATTTCTGCATTTGCTCAGCATAAAGAACTCACTGAAATGCTGAGTGTTCTTTCTTTGGCATAAATGTAGGTCAAAGGGAAAATTAACACTAAAAAAAAATTTAGCCAGAGAAGAAAAGAGTATCAGAACATTTATCTGCAGGAAAAAGCCATAGCTTATTCTACCGTTACACCTTTTTATTATGGAAAATTTCAATCATATATAAAAATATAGGGGAACGAACCCCTCAAAGCCATCACTAGGTTTCCATAATCACCAACACATGTTGCATCTTACTTTACTATACCCTCAGCACTCCCCTCTGCATTTTTTTTGAATGAAAAACCCGGACAGCTGATATTTTATTTTGTGAGCTTTCATTTATAAATATGTGTATATTTTTCTAAAGTTCAAGCCAGAAATCTCACTGAATATGAGCTGTTTAAACCAATTTTAACCGCATTTTGTAGAGCTTTTTACACTAAGCTTTTTATCCGCTTAAAAAACTAATTTGCTTGAGTATAACTGGGTGATTAAAATGACAAAGTAACTTGAAACATAACCCTACTATGATTTTATATATGGGGGAAAGCAGCATTCTAAGATTGAGGAAGCAGTGCCTGTCACTTTATCCCTATGGTTCTAATCTTTGTGTACATTCCAATTAACAAGAGACAAAGTTGAAAGTAACATGGTTAGATTTGCTGGATGTGTATGGCTTAGAAAAATGGGAGGACACTAAAGGTCCAGGAGCTGCCTAGAATGAAAGTTTCCTCTTTCCTTATGCAGAATAAAACAGAAAGCCAATGGACCAAACCTTAGGAACTTCAAAAATAACTCATCAAGCCGTCTAGCTACTTATAATAATTTATTACCCATCTTAAAGCAAAGATCAAAAGGAACTCCATCTAGCATTTATATTCTACTCTTCACTGCCTGATGACTAATTTGTAGGGGAATGAAATCTTCACAAAAGAAGCCAAAGTAATCTGAAGTGACTTTGATACAATGCCATGAGGATATGAAGAGGAAGCTGGTAGGAGGTGCAAATGGCTAGGTTCCATTAAGAGCTCTAATAAAAGAATAATGGAATTTCCCATGACTGTGAATTTTAAAATTTGCTAGAAGTGGGCAAAATTTAGACAAACTAGGCAAAACCTTTGATTTGTTATAGCTTTTTGTTGTTAAATGTTAGCTTTATCCACTATTGCACTTAATTAAATTGCTTCATTTTTAAAAAGTGCAACAATCCCATCGGAAATCTGGCCAATCTCATTCCTTTTCCTGTGTATTACTTATCAGACAGCACCTTCCCTCAGCATCGTGAGACACTACTGGCTCTCTCTATCTCTCTCTAATTCCTCTGTTCTGCAAAGTGAGTGACTGAGCATGAAAAACTAACTTAAAATAATTTTTAGAACAGCATTTCATATCACATGGAGCATAAATGACCACATGGAGCACAAATACCTCTTTTACAATCTTTTGGTGTTTCACTCAACTGGTTATCTTAGAAATACCAGAAACTTCAAATTCCGTAACTTCCATGAACAACTGGCATCCTCCCCTCCCCGAATCCAGACATCTCTGTATTCTCAGCTGAGGAAAGCAGTTTTCACACTAGTTATTTTGGCTAGTTAAAAAATCCCCAACACATGTCTGCCTGTAAATTCATAGATAAAGATTTAAGTTTATATTAGCATTTCAACTGTGCAAATTTTTTGTTTACTTCTGAAATCACCTCAAATTAACAGATTTACTGGAACCCTACATGGCATAGAAGTTTTACACAAATTTCAGAAATCTTGAAGTCTATTTTCCCATGAAGATGTGGAAATGTTAAGAATTTCTTAAAAATGGCTCTAAATGTGTAGTTCTTTTTTTAGAAGCCTTACAAATATATGGTGAATACTTACAAGTGAAGATATGCCTGAGAATTCTTCAAATATGGGTGGTGGAGAATGTAAGGTATAAAATGAAATAAGAATGGCTGTAAGTTTTCTAAAGTAGGAGCCATTATACTCTGTCTTCTGTTCCATAAAACCCTAGCTAGTTAATATTTCAGATACAATGCTATGCACTGTATTTTATAAGGATTATTGAGTCATCAAAATAACTATCAGAGCAAGAGAATCAAGATTTACAGTCAACATTTCAACTGCCTTTACCAATCCAAAAGCTTACTAATTATAGTGTTTGAAAAGAAAAAATGAAACGAATCCAAAACAATAACTTCAACAACAACAACAGCAACAAATCACTCCCAAGTCTGTCTTCTCAGTTTTTGAGCTTTTAGTGACAGTATGTAACATTTTTGGGGGAGATACTAGGGATAGAACATGTGGGCTCCACATACTAGGCAAGGGCTCTGCCACTGAGCTATAACCCCAGCCCTCTGAAACTAGATTTTAATGTGAATAAAACATAAGCACGTTAGTTAAACACACATTTTCTGTTTTCAAGAATTAAAAAATTAAAATCGAAATAAAAGATAATCGGTAAATGTACTTTAAAATCATTATATATTGGTTAAAACTGCTACACGTACAGGAAGACATTAGTCTAGAAGGTTAACTAAATATGGTCCTAGAAGGTTTTTTAATGAAAACACTAATCATCATCAAAAACTCTAAGATTCAATTCATAAATAAAACATTTCTCTTACCTTGTGATCATAAGGATTATAAGAATGAAATAGCCGAGACAGATCTTTTGTCCTCTGCTTTTTCTGGGGAAGAAAAACACAAACATTTGAGTTGATAGCTGGTATGTAACCAAAAGCAATAGGGAAAGTCCGATTTTAAAAATTAATTACAATAAAAGACACATCATTAATCGCCCTCAAAATACTCCCTCTCACACCTAACACACTTATGATCAAACACAGGCATGATAAAAACAAAGCAAAACAAAACACAGTGAGTGCTGCTGTTCAGCACCATCCAACAGAAAGACAGGCTTGTAAAAATATCACAATATGTCTTCACCAATTTATTCACTGAATTTGGCACTGTATGGCTTCTGGCTCTTCACCAAAGACAAAATGACCACCATAAAGATAAATGTATTGAATCAATTCAGGACAGTACAACTAAAGACACTAAGGAAAGAGGACTTCCAGAAGTGCTTCAGAAGTGGAAAGAATGATGGGGTAGGTGTGTGCAGAGCAAGGAAGAATACAGTGGAGCCTCAGTTCAAAAATGCTTTTGTTTGCAAACAATTTGGTCCACAAACAGAAGCGTTTGGCAAAATTTTGTTTTTGCTTGCAAATTCTACATCAGGTAACATACAGGATGGCAGCCACATTTCCCACACAACCACAAATGTGGCCATCTTTTCTGAAATCATAGAGCAAATTAAGTTCATGAATTGAGGTACCACTGTGTTTTGAAGGGGATTGATGACAATGTGGCTTTTACTGTAGCAAGTTTTTTTAAAAGGAGACATTCACTGACTTTTTGTGTATTTATCTACAGAAAGATATTCTTTATTTAGTGATTCTTCCTTTGTGTGGACTGAAGGCATGCTTGGGTGCAAATAAAAACCAAAGTCACTTGGCGGTTATGCAGGTCATTGTCATGGAACAGCCAGACCACCTCTTCCTAGAAGGTTTTATAATGAAAACTAAATAGTATTAAAGACTGTTTCAAAATACATAGCTCAGACACTAAAATGAAGAGAAAATAGTGAAAAGAAAGAGAACTCAGTACACATTAGGGTGCTTTCAATATCACTGTTATATCAGTTGCTGTTACTCAGAGCTGGCACTGACTCCATGTATTTACCCCAGCCCTCAGGCTCTTGGACACAGCTGGGTTGAGCCTACAGCTGTGAGGACACCTTTTTCTGTCACTTCTACATGCTCTGTGTGCCTTGCATGATATGTAGGCACTCAGTAAATACTAGTTAAATTAATGGCTTGTTCTCCATCATTGTGGTCTGTCCACTCCCCATAACCACTGTGAACAATTTGGTGTATGATTCCAAATCTTCTAGGAACACACATGGAAAGAAAGGTGTTATTCTGAGACAGATAAGAAGTGCCTGATTCTCCTGGCTTTCTTTTTTTTTTCCTATGACAGGAGGGGCACTGTTTGGCACAGGGCTGTCATGCCCTCATCCCCACTTCTGCTGCCACTTAGTCCACCCAAGGATGGACTGGGACGGCTTGCCTCAGTGTCTTCTGAGGTTCCTTCATGGCTGCTCTTTGGGCTCCTCTGACAGGAGGTGTGGCTCAGCCACAGCTGTGCACACCTCTGCACTCCCGCTGCTCCAAAAGCTCCCACCTCTTTGAAGGAACAGTGGGAAAATAACTCCTAATGGGTCAGAGATCAGAGAGATCCAGGCCCATTATTAAGCTCTAACAAGCTGCGATGAACACAGCCCTCTTCAATATTCCCTTGTTTCAACCCTGCCACTTTTCATAAAGATGCAACAGTTTTCAGTCAACAGCTGGCTTCACTCTGATATTTGAATTGAACCATTGCTGTCATAATAGCTGGGGCTATCTTGGACACCTTGAACCTTCATGGACCAACCATAGGCTTGCACTGGGATCAGTTAAGCAGGCCTGAATATGAACCAATGACAGGCCTACACATGGACCAATCACTGGCCTGTAACAGCTACATAAGCAGAACTCCTAATACATGTCATAGGTTGGTCTAGGAGGGCTCCCTCTTGTATGCTGACACTCTTGTGCTGCTGCTGATCAGATCCTGTTACACTAAAGATTCACTCCAATGGTCCAGCAAATCTGTTCATGATATAGTTCCCAGGTAGCATGGGCTCAGAAGATCCTGTACATCTACTTGGGATTCTTATCCTAAGTAGTGCGGACAGAACAGTTGTTTTAAAAGAAAGATAAATAAATACTAGGAGTTATTACACTTGACGAGGTCCAGAGTCCACCAGCCAATGAAGATCAGCAACCATGAAGCTGATTGATGGCAGGTAGCATAAGTCAGTTTCAAACTGCAGTCATGACCAATGTATCCAGAATTAACTGGTGTCCACTGGTGGTATCAGGGTTGCTATTGCTGCATATTGCTGATTCCTAATTTCTGTTTGAATCAAGGTAAGGCTCACTCAACTGATGGGTGACAATTCCATTACACTATTTGGAAATTTACTTTTTTCTACTTCATACTTTACCCTTGTCAAACTTCAGGCTTCTGTAAATATCTGCAAGCCCTCACTGAGAGTTTTAAAATCTAAAAACTTTAGAAATCCAAGTTCTTTCTGCAATTCATTTTGATTTTTTTAATATTATTATAGTCTTTGCACAAACATCCTTATCAACTGGAGAGTTTGCATTGCTTTAAAAAATAAATTATGGAAGTACAGGTGCAAGACAAAATAGTGTGCATGCTTATTTCCTTGAAAGATGGACATTATTCCAATTTGCCCTTTCAACCCAGAGGGAACAGGAGAAGGAACTACAGCTTACACTGTAAATTCTTAGGAATTTTTTTCCTCCATTTAAAGGTTAAAACATTTCTAAATTTACAGAATAGAAGAAACATTTTTATAACAGATAAAGAACATTTTCTCATAAATTATATAATTTATTTATTATAATTATTTCTCATCCATCATAGAATTAGCCCAGTACTTCATCTTAAAATTCTGTCATGGAACTGGCCTGTTTGTTCTGAACATTGCTCCTATCTTCTGTTGACTCTACTGGGCTTCTTCAGTCTTCACTTGTAAATGAATCTTTTTCCCAGATGGTATCCATGCAGCCCAAGACAGCCTTCCTTACTCACTCCAATGTCCTCATGGATATGTCCATTACCCCCTCCCAGTGCCAATCTGAGGGCATCCCTTCACTCAGATTTATATGATCTTCTGCACCCACTTAGCCTGGCAGTTGGATTTGATAATAATTAGGATGCTGTGTTAAAGTCACTGGTATACAATCCCATTTTTCTCATTGACTAATTTCCCTGTTTCAGAACTACCTTCAGGGTCACAATCCCACTGGCAGTCTATAAAATCACTTGGCCCTGTTGCCACATTGTGAGGCTCAGACTTAAAGTCATTCCTTCCTGTAGTTCAGCTGAAATTCCCATTTCCTCTGTCTTCCCATGAATGGTGCTTCCAAGAATCTAACTCTAAAATAATTTCATTGTTTTTCCCTGGACAGCAGAGATGCATCTTTAAAATGGTTGGAAATAGTTCCCTTGGCTAATGAAACTTTAGTCTTGTAAGCCTTGGATTCTGTTTTGAATAAGTATTTGACCATCAAAGTTTTCATTAGCTTGTAATTTCCTCCTTCCTTTCCTTACACCCACTTGGTTAGTGTAACTGTTTTTGGCCTATACTTCAGTCAGAAGAAAAATGATGAATATTAACACTTCCTTTTGTAGGAGACTTGATATAACACAATAGAGAAACTTTTTTTTCAGAAAGGAAATTACGCTACAAAAGATGAACTAGGCAGCAAATCAATATTCAACTAAGGAAGTGTCCCAAGGACTCATCAATTTCAGAAATGGTTGAACTACAAGCTTGAATTGGCAGGTGGATAAGGAATGTTCAGAAATTGCTTTTATGTAGGTTTTGATTTTATGTCTCTATTTTGACAGCTGAACCCTATATATACTTTTCTTTAGCTTGTTTTTCTTTTCTGTTTTAGGTTGAACACAGGTTCTCACATATAATAAGCATGTGTTCTACTACAATTGACACGCCCAGCCCTACATATATCTTTTATCATAAGCTACCACTGATAATTTTGGGAGGGAAGGAACTGGGGTATAAGTAAATATGCAGATTAGCTCCCAATGAAGCCTGAAGGAAACCAATGACCTTTTTCTGAGAACAAATTTATTAAGTACAGATACTGGGAAGTTGTAACTATTTAATATTTAAAGGTTATATATATATATATTCAACGAGTTTTTTGAAAACTTTTGCTACTGTTCCTTTGAAGTCAGTTATAGGCTGAGTGTATATTTTCTGGAATCTAGAACAAGGGCTGGAAAATTATGGCTAATCTATTCCAATTCTTATTTTTATAAGTTTTAATGAAACACAACCATACTTGTTCATGTTATTAACTGACTGCTTTCATGTTACAGTAGCAGATCTGAGAAGTTACAATATAGACTGTATGAACTTCAAACACTACATTAGCATCTGTCCTTACCACTCCTTTAACAGAAATGATAGTACCCTGATCTAGACTACTAGACTCTGTATCCTTGAGCATATCTACTTCAGTCGTTTGATTTAAAATCAAATGAACAATTAACTATCCAGCAGAAGTCCCTGCTGCATTCTACCTGCTCAGTGAGGACAGCTGAATCATAACTTATATACTGACATACTAGGCACAAAAATAACTAGCTACCTTGTTTGCTGGATTTTTATCTTCAGTGCATTCTATGTACAGCACCTAATATTACCAGTAGGTTTGCACACAATTTGATCCTTCATAGCCTTTTACATTCACTCTGTTACTGCTGACCACAGAAGCTCTGAGGAGAGATCCTTCAAGTCCTAACACTAAAGCCATGAAGAAGGGTTCATGTAAAAGTAACTAAGACAAGCCCATTAGCACTGGTGAACCAGCTTCTCCTACAGGCAGTGTTACAAGCACTACTCTGCAAAACATGTTGAGCTTTGCTATCAGCAGTTTTAACTGAAACCAAACGCTGAGCCAAAAATGGAATAATTAGGTATTTTCCTATTGCATCATAGTGCATGTCTAAATTATCTCCC